CCATATAGAGAAACGGTGACTTGGTTAAAAACTGCAACGACTTATCTTGCTGTGGAAGTTATTTCGAGGTGGTCGAGTTATTTGGTGGTCAAGAATTGTAATAGATGAATACATAACGGTGCTCAAATGATCTAGTTCACGAAATGTGCTCCATGTCCAAAAATTACCACAGACAAATAGGTAATATTATCATATGTCAACATACCAATGCATAACATTATCAAATAATTTAAATCTTGTTAGGCCTAAAGTGTACCTGCGATCGTGAATATAATTTTTGCAGTAATAAAAAGAGTATGTGAACATTATAAACAGCTAGCATGTATGGGTCTGGTAATTTAAATGTGCTATTTTACTAAGTATTTATTGATGTTTTTCTAAGGGTTTAAATACACGCGCTTCGGATGTTAAAATTATAGAATTCAGGTCTATAATTTCTAAAAATATAAGATATTTTTTATATGATTAATTACAGTGTTTTTGAAGACGAGTTTGCAAACTGATTTAGTTAACGTAAACATTTTTACAGATTTAAATGTTTTTTTTTTCTTCTTCTTATCATGCCTTGAAGTGTTATTAAACTTAAATGTGATTAAGTCAAACTGAACCATTATGTAAGTCAAATTATAATGTAATCAAATGAGAAAGTCACTACTTCTGCGTTGTCTTATGTCATATAGTGTTGTCATGACATTTACAGGAGATTATACAAGTTAAAATGACACTCCCTGCTTGATCCTACTAAATTCAGCGACTAACAGTGTTTTTATAATATACTTAAGTTTCAGCGGTGTTGGCTGAAGAAGCACTGAGATGTAAAATCTTATCCAGTTAATATCTGTTGTAGCTCATATATTATTTAATCTTTATTGAGTTCTGTAGAACGACTAGTTATGATTTAAGCCTAATCCAATACTTTTAAATAAGCCTATTTCTGTGAGATGTTTTTGAATTTATGACACATAACCCTATTAATGAAGAGAATACGTGGCTTATGAAATATTCAATGCATGAATACCTTTTTTAAAAGTAAGATAGGCCTATTTGGTCATAAGTTAATATTGTTAGCTAGAGTAATACTTTAGGGATTTACTTATACGTATGTGACATATATACATATATATATTAAATACTACCCAAAATTTGCCAGGGATCACTGATCGGCAACAGAGACAAGTAACCAGTATTGTTGTTGTTTTTTTTCGAAACCTATGACGGGTATTGAAAGATTTAAGTTATTAGAGAGTATTTTTCGCTCTTGGTAATTTATCGCTTATCATCAGTTATGTGAATTACAAACCCTTCCAATGGGATACTGCATGCTAAGTGGTTTATTTTTGCATCACTTTTAGTTATTGTTTCCAAAATTAATACTGAAGTACGTACCAGTAGGCATTTAAGTCTGAAGAAAAAGTCATGTGGATTCGATAAAGGCAAAATGAAACATTTCAACATTATGGTATTTTTGCTTTATCGTTAAGCCCCCCATTTTCAAATTTGTGTTTTGTTAACGAAGTCCATGCATTTTGTAAAGTATTTTACCCTAACCAGATAATGCATGGTGATGGGAAAATATACAATAAGGAAACCAACACTGCTTGTTGGGTCGATAGCGTGTGTTTAGGAAATAACAAGAATTGATGTAGTCCCTTAATAATTAGGAATCAAAAAGTTTATAAAGTATTTAAAAGATTGTTCTATACCCCTGAATGTTGACAGAATGTATCTTCACGATGAAATGAGGTAGGGTTATCACACGTGCTAATTTTGATTCGTCAGACCATAAACGAAATAATAATGTCGTTCGCAGCTATGTAACGGGCATTGTAAAATCACGCAAGCGCATTAGTAAGCCCGTGCACTCAAGTGAGTCAGATACAAAGAAAAGAAATAACAGAATCAACCAATAGTATGACAGATTACTTTACAGCATACAATAGCCTCGCGCAGTAAAGCCTAAAGTATTAAGGAAATTAAGAAAAAAATATATAAGTTTATTTCATCAGAGAGGAAGAGAAAACTATTAGTCTATGCTTTCTTGTCAACAATTTATGCAAAACGCTTCTAAAGTAAAATAAACGAATAGTATCATGTGACGTCAGGAATGTATGTCAGTGTGAAAGTGTTTATACGTTGCCAAAAGATAGCGGCGATCTTCGTAAATCAAGGCGTAGCTCCAGAAAGTACAATATAAATAAACCACTTTAGCTTACATAATTCTGACTCCCAACGACCAAGGCCCGGTATGGCCAGGTGGTTAGAGCGCTTGACTCGCAATATGAGGGTTCGAATGCCCGTTCCATCAGCCGTGGGGGGTGTTATAATGTGACGGTCAATCCCACTATTCGTTGGTTAAAAAGTAGTCCAAGAGTTGACGGTGGGTGGCGATGACTAGCGGCCTTCTCTCTAGTCTTTCACTGCTAAACTAGGGACGGCTAGCGCAGATAGCTCTCGTGTAGCTTTGCAGGAAATTCAAAACAAACAAACAAACCCAATGACTAAACGATTATTTTCACGTCATTCTCAATTTAAATACAATATTTCACTCTTACATATTAAAATCATTATTTATTCTAATAATCTTAAAACAGTAAACACTGATGTATAGAAATTTAATGCAACACACTGACCTCATCTTATCTAGGAAGGTATACATTCCCCCTACTTAAGCTTGTAGTGCACTAGATATTTGAAATGGGCAGTTCTTGAGTAAGGTGGTAGACATATATGAAATTCATTGGTGACAACATGAAGTACTTAGGCTTAAATGAAATATGAGTTGAGGCTGGTCTTCTTGGCTCTGTAGCTGTTGAACAAGAGATAGCCGGAAATCATTATAGCAGAGGAATATGGGCTCTTGATATACCCTCTCAAGCTATGTGAAGTCTGCATCTGCCTCAGGTTTTAAAGATGTCAGAACTGAGACATGAACTAATACCAAACAATTATGAAGACGAAAAGCGAGGGGGGCAAAAATCAGTGAAGTATTTTTAATATTGCAGGATGACAGTTTCAGAAGTTATTTAATTTAAGAGAGTTTGAAAACAGTAACTAGAATCCAAGTTTTAAATTTTGGTGGATATATTTGAAAATGGTGTTAGTGCTTCTAATGTTTACACGGGTAAAAAGAGATGGGATCTTTATCTTTATGCTTTTCTATGTATGTAGCCAGTTTCACAAATATGACCATACGAATTATGCACCCTAGCAGACGCTCACCAGCTAATATCTGAAGTCCTGTTGATCCAGTCAAGTCGATTCTGTTTCACGTCAACAATGGAGAAATGCAACATGAAAGAAAGGTGGATGGATCGTTGAAATCACGAGAACCCCTTCAGACCTGAGTTAATGGTCTTTATCACACAATTTGAGATCACATAATGCTTTACTGATTAGAAACGTCAATCAAGAAGATATACTGATAAATAAAGAAGCTACAGAAAGCAGGCTGGACCAAAAATCTGAAGAAACAGCGATGCACGTGATGGAAAGATTGGTATTAGTGATCCACATCTTCAAGGAAAACTGTTGTTAGATGTGGTCATAAAAGAAATAGCAACCGCTGCTATTCAGAAGTCTTATTTTGTCAGCTGTAAAGGACAAGAGCATTTGGAAAACTCTGTACGTGACAAACTACATACAAACGATAATGAAATAGCATCAACAGCTCCATTACGCAAGCATATGAAGAATATGAAGCAATACGCTTACCTTGGTATCTTTGTATACGACTGGAAAAACATCAGTCAATATAAAAGGAAACAATATATTTGAGATATGAATGCAAGTGTAGTCAAACAATAGAATGTATTGACAGAGCACGTAATGTTAATGGGCTCTTCTTAAATGAAACAGACAAGCATTGCTGGTTGGTGGCAGATATTCAGACCGCATCTCAGACAACATTCTACCTTCGTCTATAACTACGGGATTGAATTTAGTAGATGATAATCTAGATCCAGTTCTGATGACACGTGATCCGGTTCTACAGATGTGTTCGGAGATGATCATATGCTGATGTTTAACAGAATGCCAAAACTAGACTGCCATATAAATATATGTGTGGTGATGTGGCATAGGAACTGTTACTAATTTTATGAGTTCTAGAAAATAACACAAAGAAAAAATGCAAACCTGTTCGGAGAAAAATTATCTCACCTATTTTAACAATTTCAGTATTTACTTAGAGACGACTCCTCAAATAAAAAAAATAATAATACTTTTTCTACGAGTCTTGTTTTATTCTTCTATGAATCCTTGCTTTTACATCTTAAACGTAATAACCTGAACGTGTAGCTTATGTCCTTCAAACTATACCACACATGACTACTACTTTGATGGAAACAGATATTTTACTATTTTTTTTTTATCGATATTTAGTAGTTATTTCTGATCCTGCCATTTTGACTCTTAAAATGACACTTTTCAGATGTCTGACATATTTTTTTTTAGATTCCGTGCCCTCAAATTAGGTTAAAAATCACATTGGACGAAATTCTATGGAAAATGGGACCAGACTATTAGGTGTGAGCCATAGTTTTATTTCCACTGCTTTAAAATGACAAGAATCCTTGGCTGAACAACTAAGACAAGACTGATTTCTGACAATAAAGGTTCGCTGAGGCTCTATTTTTTTCTTCAGACATCCAAGAGTTTCGCTATAGTTTCAAAATGCCTTTTGAGTTCTTGTATCGACTCAAATTGTCAGTAATAGGTTCAAGGAGGTTATTTTGTGGTTTCGGAAAACCTCTGTTAGGATACTGTTGACCTCTGACCCAGAGACACAAAAAAAGCCGACGAACTTTAGATCAAGACAAACATAAGATTAAACATTAGTATTCTTCATTTCTGAACCAATGCTTTGTTTGGACTTCACAGGGGGTGTGAGAGATGATCTAAGGAAAGCAATATTACAACATTATCATTGCTTAACCAAGGCTTTGTTTGGACTTCACAGACGGACGTGTCAGGAAATGATCTAAGGAAAGCAATATTACAACATTACCATTGCTGAACCAAGGCTTTGTTTGGACTTCACAAACGGACGTGCCAGGAAATGATCTAAGGAAAGCAATATTAAAACACTACCATTGCTGAACCAAGGCTTTGTTTGGACATCACAGACGGACGTGCCAGGAAATGATCTAAGGAAAGCAATATTACAACACTACCATTGTTGAACCAAGGCTTTGTTTGGACTTCACAGACGGACGTGCCAGGAAATGATCTAAGGAAAGCAATATTACAACATTACCATTGCTGAACCAAGGCTTTGTTTGGACTTCACAAACGGACGTGCTAGGAAATGATCTAAGAAAAGCAATATTACAACACTACCATTGTTGAACCAAGGCTTTGTTTGGACTTCACAGACGGACGTGCCAGGAGATGATCTAAGAAAAGCAATATTAGAACATTACCATTGCTGAATAAGTACGCTATGTTGGTGGGTGTAGCAATGATCTAAGGTAGTATCAGCTTCAATTGGCAGGATTACCCTCCAGGTGTTCCATGATCGCTTTTTGGCAACTACGAGGTGCTGGAATAAGATTATGTGGAATAACGTCACTGATGACGTCTTCATTCCATGGTCTTCCAACAATTAAGCAGTCGAACATGTCTGGAACTCTCTCTCCAGCATGCTGCTTGGGCTTATTATATGCAGTCTGTGACTCCACGAGCTAGCAAGAAACCTTTATGAAGAAATGAAATCACCTACAAAAGATCAACATCCAGAGACTCATCAGAAGCGTTAAAGAAACTATTCTAGGCAGTTATCAATATTTTTGTTAGATAAACTCGCTGTTGATAGTATTTGTTTTGTTATTTGTTACCTTCTTATTAATTAAAAACAACAACTCCATATACCTAAAATGTTGCATGTTTGAATGGGTGTCTTCTTCCATATTGAGTTGTATATAGAAACGCTAGGAAAAAGTGAGTACAGTACGTGTTTATGTGTGAGAAGATGTAAAATGAATGAAATATTCAATTAATTGGTCACTAGTCTTTTCATATCTGTTCTATCGATTTTGAAAAGTGATTCCTACAAAACTCTTACTCAGAAGTTCTTAATAATCGTGTTATGAAAGGTAGTGTCTAGTTGTTGGTGTACATACACCCCGCGCTCCCTATAATATGCTTTTGTTTTTAATGATCTGTTAATACACCAAGCACTCGCGGTAAGATTATGGCGATCGAATATCAATCGGTATGATAATCATGAACACACACACAACTAAATTAAACCATCCCAGCTTTACACAGCTGAGATGGTTTAATTTTTGTACCAGTACCTGTGGGGTTTCTGTATTGTGTACCAATATCTGTGGTGTCTCTGTAAGCTCCTGTGGTATATGAGTTAAGTGTCATGGTAACCATCACGCCTAATGTCCGTAGTGTCTAGTTGT